ACGGGTTTAAACCAATTTTTTTTGGCGGGGTAAACCCTTGCTCGTTTGGGGGTGCTCAGGCCTTTTGGGGGGGACAACCCCGAGCTCTCAGCTTTCCCCTTTTCCAAAAACCGAGGACCGGATTTTTCATTGGATTAAATTTGGGAAAGGGGAAAGGATTTGGGGCCCCGTAGGGTTTTTCCCTAATTAAAAAATGAATGCGGGCCAAGCACTATATTTTTTTCCTTGTATTGGGGTTTCTCGGGGGATGTTCACATATGGCTGCTCATGGGGGCCCCTTTGGTCCGCAAAATGATTCAGAAGGGTGCTGATTGCACCCGGTTTTAAAGGGGAACCCCTAGTTTAAAATTTAAAAAAAAAAAAATTGACATTTTCTTGCGGTGTAACTAGAGAAAATACGCTTTTCCAGCCCTTTTAAATACCTTTTGTCCTTTTGACCCTCCCATTAACTTTTGTGTGTGGTTTTTTTTTTTTTTTTCTTTGCCCCAAATGGGTTTTAAAAACAACCGTTAAATTTGGGAAAGCAAAATTGTTGTCATGCTGGGGGGGGGGAAGGGGTCTCAATGAAAAATGCAATTTTAAAATAGACTAAAATATTTTTTACCCGGGGGTTTCAAAACTGATCTGGTGTGAAATTTCCAAGGTTTTTCAGTCGAATTCCGAAAAACGCATCAAAATTTCCGCACCCCATCATCCCGAACCCTCTGGGGGGTATGGAAAACATCCCAAAAGGGGGTTCCGGGCAAAACTGGGTGTTTTTTTTGCGCAAATTTTTTTTTAATTTTTTTTTTTTGTTTTTTTTTTTGTTTTTTAATGTTTTTTTTTTTTTGTTTTTTTTTCACCCCCAAACATAAAAAAAATTTTTTTTTTGGTTCCATGGGTGTGAACCCCCTTTGCATCCGATTCTAGTGCGGACCCAAAAAAGGGAATCCTGTATGTTTTTTGGCGTTTTTTAAAACCAAAGAAAATTTAAAAACGGCTCCGAACGCACCAAATCACATGTGATTTGCGAAGGAATGGGGTGCATTCCGGGTGTATACATGCTTTCTCCCGCTTTTTCATTGCAAGAAAAAGTATGTGCCCCCCTTTGGGTTTTTCCGGGGATTTTTGCTTGAATTAGGTTTTAAATGTCCCTTGAACGTCTCAAATTCCAAACAATAAAGCACGCCCTTCTGAACTTAATATAAAAAAATTTTTTGGGGTATTGGTTTTTTTAAACTTAACTTTTAAAACTTCCCAAAGTGCAGGGGGGAAAAAGTATGTATCCCTTGCTTAATGACTTCCCCGGGAACCCTTTTTTGACCCGGGAGTGACCAAACCTTGACCCCAAATTCAGTTTTTGATGATTTTGGATTGTTGCTGACAGCGTCCTCCCAAAAAAAAACACACCTTTTTGGGGGTTTAAACTGGTTTTCAAAAAGCACTTCCCTGGTAACCCAAATCCCTCCCCAAAAAGAGCTCTCAAAAACCCCTCCCAAATCAAAAATTTGTTGACTTGCATGAAGCGGGGAAAGGGGTTTTAAAAAAAGTATTTTCCCAAAACCCTTGGGTTTCATGTGTCCACAGAAAGACCCCCCTGTCTAAAAATGGAGAAATTTTTGGCACTGTTTGTTTTCCCCCTTTGGCGGGGTGTCCTGAAAAAATGACTGAAAAGAGCCCCAGCGCAAAATGCTGCATGGGGTTTAAAGAAAACCCAAGTGTCAGAAAAAAACCTACGAAATCTCGGGCACATGCAACATTTTTTTTTGGGAACACATCTACAATAAGGAAAAAAATTAAACAAGAATGGGGGTAAAGGGGGACACCATGGGGGGAAGCCATTTGTCCAAAAAAAAATTTTGCAGAAGTTTGAAGTTTGCAAAAGGCACCGGGTGTTCCACAGAAATACTGGAAAAAATATCTTGGACGGGAAAAAACCAAAAATGAGTTTTTTGGGGAAAAAAACCACACAACACTATGTTGGGGGAAAAAAAGGGCCCAGCACACCAACACAAAAACCTCATCTCCACTGTAAACGGGCGGGGGGCCATCAGGGTTTTGGGGCCCTGTTTTGGCTGGTCCTGGGCCGGGCGGATTGTTTTTCATTGATGGGAAATAATTTTTCCCCGATTAAATAAGACTTTTTTGCGGGAAAACGTTTGCCCAATCGCCCCCCCAACTAAAGCTCCGCAAGGATTAAATGCAACAGGACAATGCCCAAAAATTTTACAAGAAATTAAAAAAAAAACGGGTTTTGAAACCCAGCACCCCAATCCTTCTGGGGGGGCCCATCAAAAAGTCCTAACCTAAACCCTTTTTTGAAATCTGGGGGCCATGCCCTTAAAGACGATTCACACCAAAAATTCCCCAAGAATATTGTACCTGAAAAAAAGTTTTGTAAAAGGGGAGGGGTTCAAAATAAACCCCGATCGTTGTGCATCTGACCCTGCAACTAAAAAAAACCCGGTTTGGGGTTGAGGTTTTTCCCTGCCAAAGGAGGGGGTAAACCGGGTTTTAAAATTTAAAAAAGGTTTTTTTACTTTTTCCTCCCTGCACTGTGTTTTTTTCATTTTGTGAAAATTTAAAAACCAGGGAAATTTTTAAATTGTTTGTGTAGTATTATTTTCAGCGGGACTGTGTTTATTGTTGTACTTAGTTTCTTTCCCAAGAGAAACATTTTTTCCCCAAAATTCATGCAAAAACTCCACTTTTAACCCAAAGGGGGTTTCACAACTTTTTTTTCCCACTTTTTGGTGGGGGGCCCCACCCTTTTTGCAAAATTGGGGTACTTTTTTTTTTTTTTTTTTTTATTTTTTTTTTTTTTTCTGTGCAAAGTGGGCAAAAACAAATATGGTTTAAGCTATTTATCTTATCGACTCTTATTGTGGACAATTGGTTGGAATACCTCTTTTTGGCCATCTAGTTGGAGTTCAGGAGCACTGGAAAACACATGTCTTTTGTAACCTAGAGATCCAATGTAACAATCCTAGAGAACGCTAGAGGGAATTAGCAGGAATTTTTATTGTTCGCAGGATTTGATATTAGCGCCAGTAGTCTGCGCAGAGCTTTTTACGAAATGAAGGCAGATCAGTACAGTTGCAATATATATTTTGGTAGACAATTACAATATAGGAATCAGAGGGCCCCCAGGCTCGTTAGAGTGTACAATCCGAGGGGGGTAGCATTAATGGCAGATAAATGTATCATTGGCTCTGTTCATTCCCTTTAGCATTCTCTACAATTTTTACTTTACCAAGACAACCCATTTCCTTTTGCTTCTCAGCTCCATCTAGTGGCCTTAGTTTGGGTATTTTACCTTTCTGTCTATAATAAAAGAACATATGTTTGTCCAGAAATGAAAAGTGCCTAAGAACATTGGTTTTGTCCAATTGATAGAAGTCACAAATACTGCTCTATATTTCTGATGAGAAGAAGGTATTTAGCAGTTTATATTAAAAATAATTGCACTTCCAATGTTCTGTTGTACTTGTTGGGAGACCAGATATAGAGGAATGCAGGTGGTTACGGGGAGAGCGGATATAGTGAATGTAATGCGGGGTCCGGTGGAGAGTACCGATATAGTGAATGCAGGGTCCTGGGAGAGCAGATATAGTGAATGCGGGTCGGGGGAGAGCGGATATAGTGAATGCGGGGTCGTGGGGTTGATTGTGGCTAGGGAGAGCGGATATAGTGAATGCGGGGTCCGGGTGATTGAGAGCGTGATATAGTGAATGCGGGGTCCGGGTCGAGAGTCGGATGGATATAGTGAATCGCGGGGTTGCCGGGGAGAGCGGATATAGTGAATGCGGGGTCCGGGGAGAGCGGATATAGTGAATGGGGGTCCGGGGAGAGCGGATATAGTGAATGCGGGGTCCGGGGATTTGAGAGCGGATTTAGTGAATGCGGGGTCCGGGGAGAGAGCGGATATAGTGAATGCGGGGTCCGGGGAGAGCGGATCATAGTGAATGCGGGAGTCCGGGGTGAGAGCGCGCTATATAGTGAATGCGGGGTCCGGGGAGAGCGGATATATGAATGCGGGGTCCGGGAGAGAGCGGATATACGTGAATGCGGGGTCCGGGAGAGACGAGCGGATTATAGTGAATGCGGGGTCCGGGGAGAGCGGATATAGTGAATGCGGGGTCCGGGGGGGCGGGAGAGCAGATATAGTGAGTCCCGGGGAGAGCGGATTTATAGTGAATGCGGGGAGGCCGGACATAGCGAATGCGGGGTCCGGGGAGGCCGGACATAGCGAATGCGGGGTTGTCCGGGGAGGCCTCCGGACATAGCGAATGCGGGGTCCGGGGAGGCCGGACATAGCGAAATGCGGGGTCCGGGGAGGCGGGACATAGCGAATGCGGGTCCGGGAGGCCGGACATAGCGAATGCGGGGTCCGGGGAGGCCGGACATAGCGAATGCGGGGTCCGGGTTTAGTAACACTTTAAGTAGTTTTACAGGAATGGGTTTTTTTGTTTTTTTTGGAGGTGTAAACCATATGAATAGAAGCTGATTGTTGTAAGCACCCCCAGCTGTGTTATATGTTCTGTCCTAATCCCTGTAACTGTCACTTTTTCTGGACAGCTTGGCCTGGTGAAGGAAGTAGCAAAATAGGAGATCTACTGGCAGAATCAACTGTTATTGGGGGAGGGTGGGGATTTGAATTGAAATATTTGATGTGTATGTGGAGTATATAGAGGATCCCACAGACTTTGGCTCCAGATGAGTGCCATGAGCTCCTCTTGTCTGACCTCGTCTTTCTTGGTTCATCCTGCAGTATCTGAGGGCTCCAACCTTCGAGGAGGAAGTCCTTTTGTGGCGACATTTTCTGGATAACCAGGTTCTCCTGTCCTGCGGGAAAGCCTTTGAATGTTGTGAGCCGGGCTGGTTTCGAGTCATATTCTCAGACAAGACTCACCGACTGCAGCTAGGTGAGTGCGTGCTGTGAGGACCAGTCCTTACACCCGAACTCCTTACACCCGAACTCCTTACACCCGAACTCCTTACACCCGAACTCCTTACACCCGAACTCCTTACACACCCGAACTCCTTACACCCGAACTCCTTACACCCGAACTCCTTACACCCGAACTCCTTACACCCGAACTCCTTACAACCCCGAAATGAACTCCTTACACCCGAACTCCTTACACCCGAACTCCTTACACCCGAAACTCCTTACACCCCGAACTCCTTACACCCGAACTCCTTACACCCGAACTCCTTACAACCCGAACTCCTTACACCCGACGAACTCCTTACACCCGAACTCCTTACACCCGAACTCCTTACACCCGAACTCCTTACACCCGAACTCCTTACACCCGAACTCCTTACACCCGAACTCCTTACACCCAACCCTTACTCCTTACACCCGAACTCCTTACACCCGAACTCCTTACACCCGAACTCCTTACACCCGAACTCCTTACACCCGAACTCCTTACACCCGAACTCCTTACACCCGAACTCCTTACACCCGAACTCCTTACACCCGAACTCCTTACACCCGAACTCCTTACACCCGAACTCCTTACACCCGAACTCCTTACACCCGAACTCCTTACACCCGAACTCCTTACACCCGAACTCCTTACACCCGAACTCCTTACACCCGAACTCCTTACACCCGAACTCCTTACACCCGAACTCCTTACACCCGAACTCCTTACACCCGAACTCCTTACACCCGAACTCCTTACACCCGAACTCCTTACACCCGAACTCCTTACACCCGAACTCCTTACACCCGAACTCCTTACACCCGAACTCCTTACACCCGAACTCCTTACACCCGAACTCCTTACACCCCGAACTCCTTACACCCGAACTCCTTACACCCGAACTCCTTACACCCGAACTCCTTACACCCCGAACTCCTTACACCGAACTCCTTACACCCGAACTCCTTACACCCGAACTCCTTACACCCGAACTCCTTACACCCGAACTCCTTACACCCGCTCCTCTCCTAGACTGAAATGGCTTTACACTGATTTCACTGCACACTGTGAGCTTCCAACTGTATGCATTAGAAGCTGCAGTAAATCAGATAAATCTCCTCATTTACTGGTTGGAGGACATCCAACATCATCTAGCTCTTTCTTCTTCCTGGCCCCGCTACTTTCATTTATTGGATTTCAGTTCTTTCAAACCGTAAACACGTAGAATCACATGTGGGTGTTGCCTAGGGCAGTATGAATGCAAATACAGCTTGCCTAGAAAGGGCCACTTCTCTAGACTGATGCTCACCCATCAAGCATTTTGATATCTTTATTATTACTAAAGGCACTGGCAAATTACACATAATTGTAGTTTTACGTTGTGATATTTGCATAAGCCCATGCTTGCATCGGGGCTGAGGACAATTGTGGTCTCTCCCACCAGCCAAGATCTGTCTACATTGCATAGCGAAGCACAGAGATCTAGTGATGATGTCACTGGTCTAAAATAAGGTATGTAAGTAACTAAACTGGGGCTAAAGATACGTCTCTATCAGTACATTTGTCAGCCTCCAATACAAAAAACAGGTTTGGGGTTTGGCTAAAACAGTGTAATCCATATATGTCCTTAGGTACTGCAGATATCATTACAATTATTTTAGATTTGCAAATTAGAGTTTTTTGCTAAGTTACCCCCACACATGCTGAATTTGGCCTGGGCATGTAGATATCAATGCCATCTGGTCATGAAACAGGTTTAAGTCCCACCCCCCAAGGAGCCGCAGTGCCCACCCCCCAAGGAGCCGCAGTGCCTTACAAAAAAGGGGGGGGGGGAAGTTGCTTTTGCCTTAATTACACCTCTTTTTGAAGGGATGCTCATAGGCAGCAAAAATGAATTCTCCATGTAGATCTGTATGTTATAATGCTTGGCCTTCTTTGCAGAACACATCTATTTTAGAACATGTTGGATAAGTTCTATAAAAGTGGATGTAAACCCTCCCCGCTCTCTCTCTCCTCCCCACCCCCCCTCCCCTCCGCTCTCTCCCGCTCCCCCCCCCCCCTCCTCGCTCCCCCGCTCCCCCCCCTCGCTCTCTCCCCCCCCTCTCCCCCCCCCCCTCCCCCCCTCCCCCCCCTCGCTCTCCCCCCCCCCTCCCCCCCCCCCCCCCTCTCCCCCCCCCCCCCCCCCCTCCCCTCCCGCTCCCCCCCCTCCCCCCCCCCTTCCCCCCCCCCCCCCTCCCACCCCCGCTTCCCCCCCCCCCCCGCTCTCCCCGCTTCCCCCCCCCTCGCCCCCCTCCCCCCTCCCCCCCCCCCCCCCCCCCCCCCCCCCCCCCCCCCCCCCCCCCCCCCCTTCCCCCCCCCCCCCCCCCCCTCCCGCCCCCCCCCCCCCCCCCTCCCCCCCCCCCCCCCCGCCCCCCCCCCCCCCCCCTCCCCCCCCCCCCCCCCCCCACCCCGGCTCCCCACCCCCCTTCCCCCCCCCCCCCCCCCCCCCCCCCCCCCCCCCCCCCCCCCCCCCCCCCCCCCCCCCCACCCCCCCCCCCCCCCCCCCCCCCCTCCCCCTCCCCCCCCCCCCCCCCCCCCCCCCCCCCCCCTCTCCCCCCCTTCCCCCCCCCCCCCCCCCTCCCCCCCCCCCCCGCCTCCCCCCCCCCCCCCCCCGCCCCCCCCCCCCCCCCCCCCCCCCCCGCCCCCCCCCCCCCCCCCCCCCCCCCCCCCCCCCCCCCCCCCCCCCCCCCCTCCCCCCCCCCCGCCCCCCCCCCCCCCCCCCCCCCTCCCCCTCCCCCCCCCCCCCCCCCCCCCCCCCCCCCCCCCCCCCCCCCCCCCCCCCCCCCCCCCCCCCCCCCCCCCCCCCCCCCCCCCCCCCCCCCCCCCCACCCCCCCCCCCCCCCTTCCCCCCCCCCCCCCCCCCCCCCCCCCCCCCCCCCTCCCCCCCCCCACCCCCCTCCCGCTCTCCCCCCCCCCCCCCCCCCTCTCCCCCCCCCCCCCCCCCCCCTTCCCCCCCCCCCCCTCGCCCCTCTCCCCCCCCCCCCCCCCCCCCCCCCCTCCCCCCCCCCCCCCCCCCCGCCCCCCCCGCTTCCCCCCCCCCCCTCCCCCCCCCCCCCCCCCCCCTCCCCCCCCCCCCCCCCCCCCCCCCCCCCCCCCCCCCCCCCCCCCCCCCCTCCCCCACCCCCCTCGCGCTCTCCCCTTCCCCCCCCCCCTCGCGCTCCCCCCCATCGCGCTCTCCCGCTTCCCCCCACCCCCCTCGCGCTCTCCCGCTTCCCCCACTCCCTCGCGCACTCTCCCGCTTCCCCCACCCCCTCGCGCTCTCCCGCTTCCACCACCCCCCTCGCGCTCTCCCCGCTTCCCCCACCCCCCTCGCGCTCTCCCTCCGCTCCGCTTCCCCCACCCCCCTCTCTCCTCCCGCTTCCCCCACCCCCCTCTCTCCTCTCTTCTTCCCCTCCCCCCTCTCTCCTCTCTTCTTCCCCTCCCCCCAAACTCCTCTCCTCTCTTCTTCCCCTCCCCCCTCCCCCTCTCTCCTCTCTTCTTCCCCCCCACCCATTGGCTCATGCTGGTTGCAGAGAAACCATGTATCATTGTTTTCTCTTCAGTCGCATCAACCATTGCATTGGTTTCGGTTGTCTTTGTTTCCCACTGTCAGGAATGCAGCGGATCGAAGGTTCTGGAGATGAGGGAGAAGGAGCTTCACCTGGAGCCGAGGAACCTGAAGACCGAAGAAGATGGTAAGGCAGATAGCACAGACGAGGTCATCTACGTTCCAGCCAGCCACCGCGAACCCTCTGGCTCCAACCTGAGCGACCTCATAGTCCAGCTTCAGCATCAGATGCGGTCGTCGGATTGGCTGCAGCAGAACACGGCGGAAACCTTTGCCAAGCAGAACCCGGAGGTCTTCCAGGTCTACAGCAAATTCATGGGGAAGTAGTGAACAGAATCGCAGGAGGTCATGCATTGGCGGTTGAGGAACCCTCGTTCTGACGTAACAGCACAAGATCTCGGCCACCGAATGGTGCCGTTCTTGTACTATATTGTACCTATGGACTGGTGGGCTGGTCCCACTAATATGAATGACATACAGGCAAAGGCTATGGAGATTTGGGATGCAATCAGTGACCTACCTCCATCTGGGGCCATGTTGGAATATGTCAAAGGCTGTGCTTAGACGTTCCCTCTTAAGTCCATGTAAAGGATATATTTTTCAGATTAGAGTTTAGATTTCGAGTGGGAGAAGG